CTCTTTACTTATTATATATATTATGAAGATAATTTACCTATTTTTGGTCAACACGTGGCGAGACATCGACGCCAGCGAGATCGCCATTGTTGGAAGAAAATTTTGAGTTACCAAAATAAAAAGTAAAGTAGCCGTTACACGGGGTTAGATAGACGACCGTTGAACTGAAGTTTTAGATACGTTAGTCGAGTTCCAACACTTTCTCAACAAATTCGAATAAACTCGGACTGGAAATTGGAGGCGAAGAAAAGAACCTGCGCTACAACATCTCGCAAAGCAATCAACAATGGTGGCTAAGAGTCCCGCCATTCCGAATAGGATGAACGCTGCCATCAATCCAATCCTCGTCAAAGAAACAATTCAAAAGGTATTCATCTACAAACCTCTTCCTCATCTCTTCTGCCTTCCAAATCTTCCAATTTCTTATAAATTCTCTATGTAAAGTTGGATAAATGCATGGCTCGCTTGGAAGAGCTCCAGTTCACGGTTACCGGCGGCTCAAAGTTTATCTCCGGCGTGAAGCTCAGCCCACGCAGCACCAGGGGATATTTCAGAACCAGTCTCCAATGCAAGCAAGAATCCTTGAGGTTTCTATAAGCAGCCACACTAGAAATTTCAGTTCAAAATTCTGCCTTCTTCTTCTCTCCCTTCAACAAATTTAGTCTCTTACTTTCTCTCTTAATTCTTTAAGGATGAAGGCTGCTGCAGCCCAGAGATCACCGGAGTCAAAGTTTCCGGAAAAAGCGAAAGGTAACGGCTAAAAAAATTCAAAAATTTCCCCCGTTATCTCCCTTCCTTCATGGGATTCGCTCATCCAACTTCTCCTTGCTCTGTTTTTTTTCTTCTGTATATTACCACAGCGATTGAATGGCGAAGAATGTCCCTCACGGCCATGCTGCTCAACGAAACAGTCGCCGAGATCCTCCAAACAAGCAAGTTAGTTTCTAATTTTTCGATCAAAAGCACAGATACCAATCCAAGAACTCCTGAAACTGGCTCCAGAAGCAGAAACTTAGACAGCACAGAACTGAGGGCAAAACGGGCAAAGGAGAAACATCTCTCTACCCGAACATTGCGTTCTGAATCTGGCTCTCCAGTTCTTCGCAGAACTCGATCTCGAATAACTTTTAAAACAACCTCTCCTCTTAACGTAAGACAGGCATCCATGAATTTGACAAAAGCCAGACCTATGGTTTCAGTTGATCGGATCACGCCGAAAAACAAACCTTGGATGAAGAAGACGGTGCTCTTCACTAACCCGCTTTTTCATTCTACTTCCCCTACATCTACGCAGCAGAAGAGCTTCTACAAGACCAGATCTCCGATTATTACAAGACGTTCACAGGCTCCACATAAGTTCTTGATAAAATCTCAGCGTACAACTCTGCATTCGCAGCTCAAAAGCAAGAAAGCAGTGCCAGAGGTGACTACTGTTTCGCCAGTAAGAAATAAGGAATCTCCTGCAAAGCAACGGCGCTGTTCTTTCTATCCTTCTAAATTTCAAAATAAGAATTTGAGTTCACAGTTCAAGAGCAAAAAGGCAGCGCCTGAGGTGACTATTTCACCAATAAGAAGTAAAGCTTCTGCTGCGAAGCAACGGCGCTGTACCTTTTCTCCGTCTAAATTCGCAAACAGATTAGTCTCACCTCTAAAGGCGAGGCTTTCTTTTCAGAAGGGAGGGGGAAGGGTGATTCCTGGGCTGGAACAGAGGCACAGTTGGAGTATTTCTGTGAAGCAGTCATCTGCTCGGTTAAACTGTGCCATCTGACGAATTCTTAGAGAGGCAAGAATGATACAGAGCAAGTATATGTGTAAGAATATCTGATTCTTTCGCGTTCAATTTTAATAAAAGTATAAAAGTTGAACTTCATCTGGTTGGATGAAAAGTTTAAATTTGTTTGCATTGAATATGTTTTTGCAAATATTTACTCGATTCAAGTGAATGATCACTGCTTCTATAGTCTATGGAGGAATTTTCTTAATGAAGTTGATCTCTGCATGCTTCTAGTTGTGATTCAGGTAAGTAGTTTGTCTAAATTTTGGTATGCAAATTCTTCTGAGAGAGGTTGACATTGTCCTGACATTTGGTATGCACATTTCTAAGTATGGAAAATTGCATAAGGGTTCGATAAATACAAGAAGAGGCAGTTGTGAAAACCAATTTTAACCGGTTGTAAGCTCTTCGCACTCTTTACTTATCTTTCTCCTTTCATGTGAAGCTAGGCGATAGATATTAATCAAACTTGCATCAAGCTTAATAATTTTGGAGAACGTTATAAGCTCGATTTCTGTAGTGTCATAATGGTCATAAAAATTTTTGAGATAACTTTAGATTGTTTATTTAAATTATTTAAATTGCATATTTGTATAGTAGTATGCATGAAGCCTAAGAATTTCATAGAAAATTATGTTTTGCTCAGTGGTATGGTTCTATCCGACAAAGTTGTCATAATAAATGCATATATGATTTATGTTTAATTATTATATGCATTTAATATAATGTCTATGATGTCTCTTAACATAAAGGCATACCAAAAAGTTTACTTATTTGATATGCGCATTTGTGTGTATGCAAAATTGCCCAAGGTTCCATAAAGATACTATTTGATATGCGCATTTGTGTGTATGCAAAATTGCCAAGGTTCATCTACCTACAAACAGTGGTGAAAATCAAAATTAACCTAGTAGTATGTTCTTATGGATCAAAATGGTCACAATGATAAGTGAGTGGGGATATCAACTCTTTGCTTGTCCTTCTCTTTTCATGTCAAACTAGGAGGAAGATATTATTCAAACTTGCATCATGCTTATTAATTTTAGAGAACATTATAAGCATGATTTATGTTCTATCATAATGGCCATATAGACTTATGAGATCAATTTTTTATTGTGTATTTAAATCATCTAAAATGTTTATTTATACAACGGTATGTATGAACCATAAGAATTTCGTAGAAACTTATGTTATGCTTACATGTATAATTATATCCAATAAAGTTTCCATAATAAATACATATTTGATTTAAGTTTTCTTACTATACTCATTCAATATAATGTTTATGATGTCTCTTAAATTGTATTTCAAATGTTTCTAGTTTTTAAATAATTATATAAAATATTGTCTATAAAAATTTATAAAATCCTATTGAATTATTATAAGATCAAATTTGGCTTATGCCGTGAAACAAAATTTTTTGAACTAGTTTGAAATTTGATCTTCAAACCATCTTCACTAACATTATAGAATATTTAGTATTGATTTTATGTTTATTTTTACTTAATTTATGGGTGTTGTAGATATGAAATAGGATATGCTTCTTTAACTGAAACTTTGAAGGCCCAAACTCAAGATTGGGTGTGGTTTAGCTCAACTCATGGGCTGTTTATTTGGTTGTTGGCTTGGCTCAAAATAAACCTAAAATTACTGTTAAACCTAAAGTTAAAATTGATTCAAATTAAACTAACTTTAACCTAATTCAATATGACTCAAAAATCAAGATAATTCAACTTAATTAACCTTAAACATAACAAAAAAACAACCAAATCGTACTTGAAACTTATAAGCTTTTCTTAAATGCAATTGAATCTAACTTAATTCACATTTGATTTAAACATAAAACTAAGCCTCCCTGGACTAATTTAAACTTACCCTAGGTTTAATCTAATGTATCTATTAAACCTTAAAATGTTTGCGGAATCAAGCCCACGAAGTAGAGCGTAAGGTTGGAAGAGGATTGGAGGCAAAAAAGAAGTGAACAGTAGTTAGAGCATCTCAATCTTTTTCAAGTCACTCTTCTATGCAAAGAAGTTTAGGGGTATCAAGGTCACTTGTACAATACACAAATAATTAAAAATATATCAATAAATAATTTGATGGACTATCGTAATTTAATCCAATCGCCAATTCACGGTCATTGTCTTGGTGATAGCAGCCTAAATCAAATGAGGATGAGGTAGAGGTCTGCTGACTAAACTCATATGTGGAATCACTTTGACATATGCTGCACCTTTTTGGTTTGTATGATAGTGATTCATCCTTTGTTCACCCGGCTGCAGTGTCATCCTTTCTATGATGGCAAGTCACCCTTTCTATACAAATGGGCTTAGGGGTATCATGGTCAGTTGTACAATACACAAATAATTAAACATGTAACATTAATAATTTGTTGGTCTATCGTGATTTCATCCAATCTCTAGTTCACGGTCATTTGCTTGGTGATAGCGGTCTAAATCACAAGGGGAGACATAGAGACCTTTAGACTAAACTCATCCATGGAATCACTTTGACATATGATCCACTTTTTTCATATGATGGTGAGTCGCGCTTCGTTCATCCGGTTGGAGAGTCATTATTCGTTCGGCTCCTCATAGAGCCATCTTTCGTTTGGTCAGATGTGAACTGATTCTTCATTCTTCCGTGTGTGTCAACCATCTTATCAACTGATGCGATTAATTTGTTATGATCTTTGAGATTTTTATTTTTGGATTGGAATCAATGTTGACTAGTCTCTTATATGACTTGACCATGGGTCTCACTTTACTTGTCGTGTTTTTTCATTTTTCCTTGAGAATCGTATTGTCAAGGTTTTCTCATTTGTATTTTGTTCCCCAATTTTCTTGCTTTTAAAAGTAACAATTACAATAAAAATAGGAAAATTAAATGCAGCGCTAAATTCCACATTTGATTCATTTACATTATGATCTGTATTTAATATTCAAACTCCCTAGTTTTTCATGTGTTGTCATTTTATAAATAGGTCAACACTGATGACCCTTGCTTTCACATTTTTCTTCTGTCCAAGCCTTTAGTTGTTCTTGGTAGAGGATGCCCTGATGGCGAGTGGAAAAAAGCTTCGGTCTGGAGATCTATCTGATGACATCCTAATGAAGGCTTTTAGACTTCCGGACATTCGGCTGATATAACCTGTCCACAGAATATTCCCATGAAATTTAATCATCCTGAGGGTGGAGCAGTCAACAACCAAGGGAAATATCTTGAGGCCAACAAGCTTACCCAAAAGACGCAATTCAAGTAGCTGGCTTTCAAGAAGGGACCTTTGGGCATATGCAAGGACGATGATGAGGATGAAGTCTGTGATGATCTTCCTATAGTTCATCAAAAGTCGGATGAAGGTCCAAACATGTCTCCCACTTGTGTATCACTTTAGTATGTTGGTCAATAGAGCAATGACACTCGACGAACCTCTGAAGGTGTGTTCTTCGTTCTGCTCCTCATAGAGCCATCTTTCGTTTGATCAGATGTGAATTGATTCTTCATTCTTCTGTGTGTGTCAACCAGCTTATCAACTGATGCGATTAATTTGTTACGATCTTTGAGATTTTTATTTTTGGATTAGAATCAATGTTGACTAGTCTCTTATATGACTTGACCATGGGTCTCACTTTACTTGTCGTGTGTTTTCATTTTTCCTTGAGAATCGTATTGTCAAGGTTTTCTCATTTGTATTTTGTTCCCCAATTTTCTTGCTTTTAAAAGTGACAATTACAATAAAAATAGGAAAATTAAATGCAGCGCTAAATTCCACATTTGATTTATTTACATTATGATCTGTATTTAATATTCAAACTCCCTAGTTTTTCATGTGTTGTCATTTTATAAATAGGTCATCACTGATGACCCTTGCTTCCACATTTTTCTTCTGTCCAAGCCTTTAGTCGTTCTTGGTAGAGGATGCTCTGATGACGAGTTGAAAAAAGCTTCAGTCTGGAGATCTATCTGATGACATCCTAATGAAGGCTTTTAGACTTCCGGACATTCGGCTGATATAACCTGTCCACAGAATATTCCCATGAAATTTAATCATCCTGAGGGTGGAGCAGTCAACAACCAAGGGAAAAATCTTTAGGGCAACAAGCTTACCCAAAAGACGCAATTCAAGTAGCTGGCTTTCACGAAGGGACCTTTGGGCATATGCAAAGACGATGATGAGGATGAAGTCTGTAATGATCTTCCTATAGTTCATCAAAAGTCAGATGAAGGTCCAAACATTTCTCCCACTTGTGCATCACTTAAGTCTGTTGGTCAATAGAGCAATGACACTCAACGAACCTCTGAAGGTGTGTTGCTAGTGGATAAAGGTGCAGTCAACAAACTAGGGAAAAATCTTGAGGGCAACAAGCCTACCCAGAAGACGCAAGTCAAGTAGTTGGCTTTCAAGAAGGGACCTTTGAGCATATGCAAGGACGATGATGAGGATGAAGTGTGTGATGATGTTCCTATAGTTCATCAAAAGTCGGATGAAGGTCCAAACATTTCTCCCACTTGTGCATCACTTAAGTCTATTGGTCAATAGAGCAAAGACACTCGACGAACCTCTGAAGGTTTGTTATTAGTGGATAAGGGCACAGACAGTCCTTTTCAGACCAAAGGCGTGGGGGTTGCAGACGCTCCACCTGTGTCTGATGAGAGTCTCTCGTCTTTATTTTGGTTTGACCTAGATTGATTCCTTAATTTAACGACAAATTATTTCAGATGCAAATCCGTCACAAATCCCATTTGGCGTTAGATTTTCCTTCGATTAACGTTGGATTTGTCAAGATAAATTCTGTAGTGATTATCATATATAGTGATGAAGACCATAAACAAGCAATAAACACACTTTGACCTAAAAAAATGTGAGGTTTATTTGTATTATTGAGATATTCACTATAAAATCATTAAAATACTGCAAACATTAAACTAAAAATAAAAAATTATTAATTTTATTACTTATATATAGAAATCTAAAATATAGCCCACAATTCTCATGTATTTACAAAGCTAGCACCTAAACTCTCATATTTACATGCATACCATTCAAATCTCTAACATCATATAAAAAATTCCTCCATCAATATCTATTTAAGAGTGAAATAAAAATTTTCCAGCATTGGTTCATGACATCAAGATATTTAAATGTAAAGATCAAAATTTTAGATACATAAACGTAGGGGTGTAAACGAACAGAGCTTGTGTTTATGTTCGGTTCGTTTGAAATTTAGTTTGTTTGAACTAAACAACATGAGTTGTTCGCGAACGGCGAGCTAGTTTGACATCCCTAATATTAATATATAGAATTAATATATTATATTAATTATATAACTTATATTATATAAATATATAATATCTATATTAGTATATTACTAATATAGTTTATTAATATATTATTATTATTAATTTATTATATATTATAATTTATAAAATTTAATTTTTTAAAATATCATAAATTTTTTATTTTAAATTATTTTAAATTATTTTATATTTCAAACAATAACGATTCAAACACGAACGAACGCATCACTGTTCGTGTTTGGATCGTTTAACTAATCGAAAGAAAAAAATTTGTTCACGTTGGTCTCATTCACCTATCGAACGAATTGAACACGAACTGTTCGCAAATAACGAGCTTTTTTTTTTTGACAGCCCTACATAAACACATATAAATTATGTGGTATGCATGTAAACTCTCCTTTAAAAAATCATGAACAACTACCCCAAACTGCTCCAAAATAACGCATTTCATAACCACTCTTCTACAACCACTGTCTTCTTTACCGGATCCTATCTGGAGAGCATTGCACTCTTTTTTTGGCAGCAACAGATTTGATCACTTTGAATGATTGGGGGCGACAAAATTTCTAAATGATTAAACTAAATAATACAAATTTATTAATTTTATTACTTATATATATATATAAATACATAAAATTATGTGGTATGGATGTAAATTTTCCTTGAACAAATCCTGAAATATGTACCCAAACTCATCCAAAATAACACATTTCATAACAACTAGCTCATTAAGGAAACATCTACAACCACTATCTTCTCTACCTGATCCTCTCTGCAGAACATGACATTTTTTTCTTAAGAAAAAGCAAATTTGATCACTTGGAATGGTTGTAATCGAAACAAAAGCCTGATTTTTTTTTCACAACACGCTTTTCGTCCTCGGAGGTTGTCCCAAGCTGCCGGCGTCGCCATGAATGGAAGGGGTGGTTCAGCTCCTGATGGCATTCATTTCCAGAACAGAGAGGTGGCTTGTTCTACCTGGCCGAGAGAACAAGACTTCAGGTGGTATTCGTTCGGAGTCTTCTCTGGAGAGCCCTACAATTTCTCCTTCCCGATCCTGCTGACTCAGATCGTCATTATTGCGTCCACTTCTCGCGTCCTCAACTTCCTCTTCCGCCCCTTCAAGCAGCTGCGCATCATCGGCGACATCTTCGTATTGTCATCTTTATTTTATTATGTTTAGCTCCCGGTTTACTCTGCAGTGGTGATGAAGATAAATAAGTAATAAACACACTTTGAGGGAAAATATTTGCTTGCATAAGATGTACTTAACACTGTGTACGTCAGGGGTTATTCAGGGGGTAAGGGGGGTTATTCAGGGGGTACGGGGGGTTATACCCCTTGTAACCTCCGTGTAATTTCCTTGTGTAACCTCCGTATAACTTATTTGTACTCATGAAACTACAGAAGCGCGTAACTCATTTGTAAGATACAGATAGTTTACAAAGAGATTACAGTGGGGTTACAGAGGGGTATAACCCCGATATAACCCTCCTGTACCCCCTGAATAACTCCTGGACGTACCTGGACGTACGCTGGACGTACGCATCGCTGCATACGTCTTATGTACGCAAATATTTTCCCACTTGGAGGGGGGGCAGGATTTAAGGTTGGATTTAGGTGTATTTAACATGAATCAAGTCAAATATGAAAACACATGCGATACATAGATCCAACATTTTGGACACTATAAGGTTAATCAGGATTTTAGTAAATTTGATAGAGAGATGAATTTAAGGGATTTAAGAAGGCACCTAGTTTGCTAAATACATTAGAAAGTTTAAGGGGATTTAGTGATAACTGAATCACACTTAATTATTAATTTAATACCTCCAAATCTTATAAATCTGAATTTATCGGATTTACTATATCCTATTTAGCTTAAATCTAAGTTGCAACTAAATATCCTCAGAAAAAATTATTAGGTGCAGCGTCGGCACCAATAGGAGGAGAGAGGGGCCAGACCCTCTCTCTCCGGCCCCGCCCCTCTCTCTCCGGCCCCCTCTCTCCTCTCATTGGGTGGTCCCGTCGCATCTAGTATTTTTTACTCTGAGAGATGTTCCCTCTCTCCTCTCATTGGGTGGTCCCGTCGCATCTAATAATTTTTACTCTGCGAGATATTCAGGATAAGATGATTGAAATACTGCAAAAATTCAATTTTGTACATAAAATTTTAATTTTATCTTCATAGATAAGAATTATTTGAATCTGGAGCCCAAAAATTCAAAAAAAAAAAAAAATGCAGTTGAACACATTTGAGATGATTACCTAAAAAACATACCAAAAATTATAAAATCATTCTGATTCTGAAAGATCAAAACTTCAGCAGAATAATCTCAAGACCGCACGCAATGCAACTGAAAAAAAAGGAAATTCCGATTCAACCGCATTTATTACTTTCAGAATTAATGAATTCTAATTCACCCAACCCGACCTGCAACAATTTTCAGGCCGGCTTCCTGCTCGGTCCCGAATTCCTGGGACGCCTACTGCCCGGCTACAGCGCCCTCCTATTCTCTGACCGCGAGATGATGATAAGCCACACCCTCTCCGCCGCCGGCATCATGCTCTACTGCTTCCTCGTCAGCGTCAAGATGGACCCCGCCATCGTCGCCCAATCCGGCCGCCGGACTGTCATCATCGGTTTATGCAACAGCATCCTCCCCATGATCCTCATGATCCTCACCGCCATACCCCTCCGCTCCCACATCCCCTCTGCCATCGCACAGAGCAACTTCATCATCTTCCTCGTCGCCCCTCTCAGCATCACCAACTTCCCCGTCATCGCCGACGCCCTCACCGAACTCCAACTCCTAAACACCGAGCTCGGCCGCCTAGCATTATCCGCCTCATTGATCAACACCAGCGTCGGATGGTTGCTCTTCATCTTCATGAGCCAGGACAGGGGAGGGCTGGACAAGGCTTTCAAGATGGTGTTTTCCATGCTCATCTTGGTGTTGCTCATCGTCTTCCCGTTCAGGCGGTGGATGCTGTGGATCGTGAGGCGGACGCCGAAGGGGCAGCGGGTGGGAGAATTCCAGGTATTTGCGGTGTTGATGTGCATGTTGGGGGTGGCTGTGTTGAGCGAGATGATTGGGGCGACGAATATAAACGGGGTGGTGGCGTTGGGGTTGGTGATACCGGAGGGGACGCCGCTGGGCGCGGCGCTGGTGGAGACGATTGAGTTGGTGTCCAACGAGATCATGTTGCCTTTGTTTTATGCTAATGCGGGGAGGTACGTGAGCCTGGCGGCATTGGTGCATTGGAGGTCGTGGATGGTGCTGATGTGTCTGCTGGGATTGGTGTATGTGGCTAAGTTTGTGTGGACGTTTGTGCCGGCGGTGTATTTTTGTAAGGTGCCGGCGCGCCAGGCTTTTATATTGGGGCTCATCTTCAACATCAGAGGCTTGGTGAATCTAATCACTTATTACAAATACAGAGTTCAGTCGGTACGTATGTCTTTCTCTTTTGTTCTAAAGGGCACATTATATATAATAGTAAGGTTTTTTATAAGTTCTATGATGGAGCAACCATGTTTAAATTATTGTATCATTGAATGGGTCAAAATTACCTTTAGTCATTCAAAATTTATTTTGATTTAGTTAATCTAATTGTAGAAAATGTGAAGCTCTTTAAGTAGGATGAAGTTCATTGAGACATCTTTTGGCATAACGATTGTAATTTCATCATAAACACTATAAAGTAAGTGTTCTTGTGAGAGAGGAATTTTGAGATGGCTGACCTTCTAGATATCAATTGAACAAAATGGTGAGGTCATTAAACCGAACTAGACAATATTTCCATATATAAAAATTTGAGTCGTTATAAATGATATCAGTGTTACCTCAGTGTGAATATAGGAACTAAATTTCATTGAACAAAATGTTACATCATGAGAGACACTTCCCAAGTCCTAAATGACATAAATTACTACTTGGTAGAAACTATCTCTTGAATCTATAAGGGCTACTGCCTATAGAATGATATATGTCTGGTGGATGATTATAAGTTAAGAAAACTAACGATGACATCATGAATTACTTAAGTGGAGAAAACTGTGATGCCCCTTAAGTAGAACGAATTGAACTCTTAAACTTCAAGGTATTTCTTTATGTAATGGTTGGAGTTTTAACATAAAATTAAAAGTTAAGTGTGCTCTAGTGGGAGCACTTAAAATGAGCAATGTATCGGGAAGCTACACCAATGAGATAAAATCATAATGTTATTAGGCCAAAATTGATAATATCTCAAATGCATAAGAGTTCACATTGTTGTAGATACTTTATATAAAATCGGGTTAGCCTATTTAAGTTAGGAATTAGTACTAGTAAAATATAATATATGGCAATAAAAAATCTTCCTATACACATCATAAAGCTCAAATTTGCAAGGCATTCAACGGTCTATAAAATAAATCTATTTAGACAATTGTCTCGATTCCAATTGCTACAATCATAAGCATGTTTCAAGTAGAGTTTGCAACGCTCGCTCTTAAAATCCTTAAATCTATAAACTTTAACTTTGATCATTGATTCATCCTTGAGAATAAATTTAATCATTCACATTCAATTTTTCAACTGCTCGCAACTTCGAAACTGTCAACACCTTTGTGAGCATGATCGTCAAATTCTACTTTATATTTAACCTTGCCTTCTTCAATCAAATCATGAACAAAGTGGTATATTTCATCAATGTGTTTGGTATAAGCATGATGAACATTATTTATAGCCTAGAATATCTCACTTTGACTATCACATAACACCGTGAGAGACTTCTGATCAACTATCAAGTCATCCAGTAAACCATTCATCATATGCTTCCTTCATCGCCACTGTGATTGTCATGTACTCAGCCTTCGTAGTAAACAAAATAATAGTAGACTGAAGAGTCGAACTACAACAGAATGGAACTCCTGTTAATATGAATAAATAACTAGTTGTAGATCTTCACCTACACATATCATGTGCATAGAGTGAGTCAGCGTAGCCTACACACAATCTACACTGGATAATTGTCTTTGAAACATAAAGCCAACATCAACTGTACCCTTCAGATATCTCAGAATGTTCTTCACAGCCTGTCAATGACTCTTCCCTAGATCATGCATGAACCTGCTCATAACAACAACTACTTGTGCAATGTCTGATCTAGTATAAACCGTGACATACATCAGACTGCCCAATGCACTAGTATAAGAAACTGATCACATATCTTTCATCTCCTGATCATCTTAAGAACATTGATCTGAGCTCAACTGAAAGTTAGATGCAATTGGTAGACTCACCACCTTGCTCGAGTCCTCAACCTCAAATTTCTTTGACACCTTTCAAACATAAGCTTATTGCAAAAGTCAAACATTTTTAGCTAAATTGTTCTTAAGAATCTTCATGCCAAGAAATTTGTGAGCTTCACCAAACTCTTTTATTTCAAAATATTTTAATAGTTTATTTTTCATCCTATAAAACTCAATCTAACTAGTAGTAGTATTCAACATATAGAAACAATTAAATGAACTTGTCATTGGCCAACTTCTTGAAATATACACAATAAACATATTGGCTCCTTGTGTACTCCCGCCCCGTTATGAACTGATCAAAATTTGTATGTCACTATCATGGTGATTGCTTCAACTCTTACAAAGACTTGTTCAGTTTACAAACCAGACAGCTGCAATATATAGATCACCTCTTGCACGTTTACGTGTAGGAATGCAGTCTTCACATCAACTTGTTCTAAGATTAGATGATATTATACTACAAGTGCTAAGAGAACACAAATTGACGAATGTTTGACCATAGAGAAGAACAGTTCATCATAATTAGTCCTTTCTCATTGTGCAAAGTCTTCTACCACTAATTTTATCTTGTACTGTGCTTCAGCTCCATGAGATCCTTCTTTCTTTGCATACACTTATTTGCACCTAATGACTTTCCTTCGTGGAGGAAGCTTCACAATCCTTCATGTACCATTCTTCCGATGAAATTCCATTCATCTCTTCATCTGCTGCTGCTCTCCAAATATCACAGTCTGGGCTCTCCACCACTTCTTTATAGTGACGAGAAATTTGTGTCTCTATGGTCTTTATAGTGACGAGAATTTTGTGCCTCTATGGCTAAAAGTTCAAATGTAATGTGATCCCTCAACCAAGCTGATTTTGGGACATTCTAGTGACTAGTCTTGCTTTTAGCAATAAATTCCTAAGCAAGAATCTGATCTTCAACATCTTCTTTCACTTTCTCCTGAGCACTATCAACAGATGCCTTTTGAGCTGCAATTGGATCAGATATTTGAGTTGGAGTGGATGAACTCTATGAAACAAATGGAGTTGCATCAAACTCCAATTATTGTTGAATATTTGTGGTCCCAAAAGAACTCTTCACCTGCTTTGGGTCTCTCTTTTTAACAATCTTGTTTCATCAAATGTAATTTTCCTGCTAATAATAACCTTCCTTTTCTGACCAATCATGCAACTTGAAGATCCTGCTAGAGATTATTCTGCAGCTAAGCGTGGTGGTAATTTTGACACCTAAACACTCTCATATATTCATAATCTCTAGCAGGATGCTGTGACCACATCTCCTTTGGAGTCTTACTCCTAATAGCTGCAGAAGGTAAGCAGTTCACCAAGTGACAATCATATTTTATGGCATCGACTCAATAGATTCTATCAAACACAACATTAGATAACATACACAAAACCTTCTCCACCAAAGCCTGATTCATCCTCTTAGTCACTTCATTCTACTGTGGTGTCTCTCTAATAGTGAAGTGATGTTCTATCCCAGCTCTCTTGCACTCTTGTAAGATTAATATGAATCTAATACACCACATCTTTTTACCAGGCTAAATCCACTTCTTCCCATTTATGAAAATCTCCAACACTTTGTTTTTGTGTTTCACGGTGTACACCTGAGCATACTTAGAGTAATCATCAAAAAAAGATACAAAGTATCTTTTCTTGTTGATTGATGTTGTCTTTATCTGGCCCCAAACATATATGTGAATATAGTCTAAAATATCTTTTGTGTTGTGCGTGACAATACTAAATGATAAACATATTTTTTTGGTCAAACAAATAATGTTCACAGAAATCGAGCTTACAGATGCTCGCTCTTTTGATCAATCATTTCTTCATCAAAGCATGAAGTGAAGCCTCTCAAGCTTGAGCTAGCTGCTTATGCCAAGACATAGTGGTGTTACAATAATTATTAGTAGCAACAACCATTCTAGTCACTGTACTACTCTTAAGATAGTAAAAATTGTGATGACAAACTCGCTTCACAAAAAACATTACTTCATGACATATCCTCAGAACTCCTACCTTAATAACTACCTTGTATCCCTTGGACTCTAAAGCCCCAACTGACAGTAAATTCTTCATGATATTTGAAACATATTTAACATCATTCAGCTCCCTAACAACACTTTCATGTATCCTGAAAAAGATACTCCCTACAACAATTGTATGATAAACTTGATCGTTGTCCATAGTCACTACACTACTATCTAGCTCCTTGTACGTACAGAATCATCATCGATAAAAATAAATATGATAGGTAGCACCAGTATCAGAATTTAACACGAATCATCTGTAAACAAACTGTGAAAAACTGTAGATAATGATATATCTGAATCTGCCTCTTCACTTCTTTCCACACTAAAATTGACTTTCACATCAGATGTAACTTTCTTTCCCTTCTCATTCAGCTTTAGACAGTTTTTCTTTCAATGACCAATCTCTAAACAGTAAGCACACTAATTTTCCCTGAGACTGCACCCATGAGACATGCCTCACTTTTAAGAAATGTCACTACAACCACATTTCTTTACCAAATTCTTCTTCTTCTTCTCAGATCTGTCACGTTGGAGTGTTAGTGTCTCGGTTGATTTCCTCTTTGTGGACTCCTTGTCCCTTCGACGGAACTTGTGATACAACATTGCCCCAATCACTTCGTCATAATTTAAGACCTCCTTCCCATGAATGAGTGTTATCGCAAAATTTTGGTACTTATCTTGGAGCAAATTCAAAAGAAAAAGTTTTTTATCATCATCTTCTACATTCTCATCCAAATTTAACAGATCTCTCAAAAGCTTTGTGAAGTTGTTCAATTGATTATCAATATCAAACCTCTATCTCATCCGGAATCTATAAAGAGCACTTCATATAGAGATAATTTTTCACGCTCCTCATGAGCAGCCTCCACAATCCCTACAGAAGTCTCCATCATCACTCCATATTTGATTTCCTGTTCAAGCAATTTTGTATTGAGCTACAAGCATTTCAGTTCATCTTCAATTAATCTATCTCTAACATCTCTTCAAGACATTTCTCGCTATCCAAGACTTCTTTCAGATTTCGAGAACACAACACATCAATCACCTCACACGTCACATGTCAAAGTTCTCTTTGCTATTAAATTTTGTCGCATCAATTTTGACGGGATGCGTAGTTACCTGATGTATCTATTTTTCCACTGTTATTTGTTACCACTTTTAGAATCTCTTTGAGAAAAAAAAAATTCCTTTAGTTGAATATCTGGGAAAAAAATAAAAAAATATTCCAGAACCTTTTTTAATTCCTTAAAAAACTTTCTAATTTTATGCAAACAATTAAGTAATTTAATGCAAAATTCTCATGAATTTTATTTGCACGCGTCTCATAATTACTCACTTATCATAAAAATATGTAGTTAGAGATCATTTTTCCCCTATCTACCATCATCACGTATGCATTTAATTTTAGATCATTCATAATCACTATATGAATAATATACCCTGTTATTAGTCCAATATTACTATTACGCATCATCAATTAATATATTCTAACGTATCAAAAGTATATACATTAATATTTTTATATAAATTAATATTTTATGTTATATAATGTCTGATTCTAAATTCAGCCAAAATTGTTTCCCCTTCGCGCCGAAAACATTACATCGTGACTCTTAACATAGAGCTACGTTCGGATTGAAATATTCGGCTGTGTTACGGGAATATTCCATTTGCGTTATTTATAAAAAAATGATGTGTTATTCGAGCATTATAGGATGTTATTCGATTATTTTACAGTGTTATTGGAATATTCCATTGTGTTATTTGATTTGGGCCAAAGATAATATTTCAATAACATCGCAAAATAATCAAATAACACATCGATATTTCAATAACATCACAAAATAATCAAATAACACATCGTTTTCACAAATAACGCAGATAAAATATTCCTGTAACACCCCTGTAACACAGCCGAATATTTCAATCCGAACGTAGCTCTACATTAGGAGTCCTGATATAATATTTTTCTACCTATATATTTTTATGATAAGTGAGTGCAAAATAATCAAATAATATTATATAATACTCGAATAACATATTGTTTTTGAAATAATACGAATGTAATATTCTTGTAACACAATTGAATATTTCAATCCGAACATAACTAAGTACTAATGTAACATTTTTTCCCGTGCAGCTACTGGAAGATGAAAGCTTCTCAATTGTGATCTTCTCCTACCTTCTGGTCACCGTAATCGTGACACCGACTGTGCAGAAGCTCTACCAGCCCTTACCTGAACGCCGCCATTCAAACCGCCGGACCATCCAGCACCTCAAACCCAACTCACAGCTCCGCCTCCTCGCCTGCGTACAGAACGATGACCCCATCCCCTGCATCATCAACTTACTCGAATCCTCCTCCCCTGCATCTCCTCCAGCTCCGGCGCCTCTCTTAGCCTGCGTTCTCCACCTCGATGAGCAGCCCGGCCGCGCCGACTCCATACTCATCGCTCACAGCAACAGTAAGGGCTTCCTTAATCCTAAAAACATGGACCGCCTCCACAACGCCTTTACGCACTATGAGAAGAGCAAGGATGGCCTGATCGAAGTTCGGCCATACACATCCATCTCCCCTTCTCATAACATGTGTCAGGAAATCTGCGCGCTTGCCGCGCAGGAGAATGTTGCTTTGGTTATCGTCCCGGTGACCAGGAGGAGTAAAATCTATGGCGGGAGCGGACATGTTGAAGACTATGCTCTGCGCAGCGCAATCCCCAAAATTCTCGCCCAGGTATATATGGAGCCAAAAGCAGAAAAATTATTACCTCAGTATTTTGGCACGTAGAGCTGCTTGTGGAGTTCAGTCTCAAACTAACACGTGAAAATTATGATTCACCTACATAAAAAATGAAAATAAGACTTAAATGCGCGACCCGGCCCGACCAAATATTCCCTCGCGTTATTGTGAATATTTTTTACGTTATTCATGTGTTATTTGTATGTTATTGAGGTATTATTTATGCCAAAAAATATTTTTTGTGTTTTTAATTTATTATTGGTGTGTTATTCATGAATAACATCTTAATAACACATCAATAAAACATGAATAAAGAGAAAAATATTCAGAATAACGCGAAAGAAATATTCCTATAATACGGTCGAGTTGGGTCGCACGTTCTTAATGTGTTATTGGTGTGTTATTTATGTGTTATTGAAGTGATATTTTCCGCATTATTAATGTGTTATTGATATTATTGTTTAAACAATAATATCAATAACACATTAATAATGCGGAAAATATCACTTCAATAACACATAAATAACACACCAATAACACATTAAGAACGTGCGACCCAACTCGACCGTATTATAGGAATATTTCTTTCGCGTTATTCTGAATATTTTTCTCTTTATTCATGTTTTATTGATGTGTTATTAAGATGTTATTCATGAATAACACACCAATAATAAATTAAAAACACAAAAAATATTTTTTGGCATAAATAATACCTCAACCGGGAGCGGACATGTTGAAGACTATGCTCTGCGCAGCGCAATCCCCAAAATTCTCGCCCAGGTATATATGGAGCCAAAAGCAGAAAAATGATTACGTCAGTATTTTGGCATGGAGTTCAGTCTCAAACTAACACGTGAAAATTATAATTCACCTACATAAAAAATGAAAATAAGACTTAAATGCGCGACCCGGCCCGACCAAATATTCCCTCGCGTTATTGTGAATATTTTTTACGTTATTCATGTGTTATTTGTATGTTATTGAGGTATTATTTATGCCAAAAAATATTTTTTTGTGTTTTTAATTTGTTATTGGTGTGTTATTCATGAATAATTTATTGAGGTATTATTTATGCCAAAAAATATTTTTTGTGTTTTTAATTTATTATTGGTGTGTTATTCATGAATAACATCTTAATAACACATCAATAAAACATGAATAAAGAGAAAAATATTCAGAATAACGCGAAAGAAATATTCCTATAATACGGTCGAGTTGGGTCGCACGTTCTTAATGTGTTATTGGTGTGTTATTTATGTGTTATTGAAGTGATATTTTCCGCATTATTAATGTGTTATTGATATTATTGTTTAAACAATAATATCTTAAAATCAACTCAATAATACATCAATAACACATGAATAACGCAGAAAAAATTCAGAATAACTTGAAAGCACGATCGGGTCGGGTCGCGCGTTTTCATTCTTTTTTAAATTTTTTATGGAGGTGGCCCCAGCTTTTCACGTGTTAGTTTTAGATTGGACTCCGCAGACAGCTCTGCATGCGAAGTCCTGATATAATAATTTTCGAAAAGGTGTTTGATGCTGAATGAAAAAAATGAGTGATGGATTGTTAAATTTTTTAAAAAAGAATTTTAACTTTTTTTAACTATAGTTACTAAATTAAAAATATAAATAATCTCAAATTATTATTAATGATTTAAATTGAGTGAGGCCAAATTTATATTGCATGATTAGGGCGATCAATTTTTATTTTTAATAATTTTTTAACAGAAGTTGACACCAAGGTGTTTGATGAAATGCGCAGGCCCCCTGCTCTGTCGGCCTGCTCGTCCACCAGGGCCTCCAGGAACCGTTGTTCAACTCCCCATCCAAATTCCAACAGCATATCGGAGTGCTCTTCTGGAGCGGTCCGGACTCCCGAGAGGCTCTCGCATACGCCTCCCAAATGGCCCGGCACTCCGGCGTCAACCTCACCGTGACCCGATTCTTCGCCGCATCAGAGGAGGTGCAGAACAAAACGCAGGCTTTGCTTGATGACGAGGTAATGGCGGTGTTTCAGCTGGAAAACGCTGGAAATGAGAGAGTCACGGTTCAAGAGATAGTTGTGGAGGACATGGAGCATGCCATATGTGTTATCCGGGAAGTCGGCTGCGGGGGCTACGATTTCGTGGTGGTGGGCCTGCGGTTTGGATGGCGGTCGCCGGTGCTGGAGAGGCTGGAGGAATGGTGCGAGAATCCAGAGCTTGGTGTGATAGGGGATGTCATGGCTTCGCTTGAGTTCGACCGTTGCTTCTCAGTTCTAGTAGTGCAGCAGAAGACGTAGTGGTGTTTGAGAGTGTTGGAGGAGATGAAGGGAACTAATGAACATTTTGTATTGCTTTAGCCATATGTCATTATAGTGAAATTTCAAAAATAGATTTTTTTTAAATTGGTATTCAAAACAGACTAATTTAAGTAGGGACAATTACATGCATAGCACCAGAACATTATCATTCATAAAATCTAACACTCATATTGTATTTTTGAACTACAGAAGTGATGATGTATTTATAATCAAATAAATGAGATTGTTGGCCAAGTTTTTGATAGGAACCCCATCAAAGCATCTATAGTTCCATGAAACAAAAAATGCCCAGTTTGCCAAAGAACAAACCAGTGCAAATAAAGGGGTATGAACAATGACAGGAATGATTTGGATTTTATAGTGTAATAAAGGGTAGGGGAATACTAATCAAGAGGGACAAGTAACTTGTTGTATTCCAAAAATATCTCACTGATAATCATCCTAACATAGCATAGTAATGAAAGTTAAGGAATAACAAATTCATATAAATTGATGCTGATAGAAATATCATCATTCTTATTCCACTTCTTAGATTTCTGCCGGACATCATCAATAGGAGAACTAGTACCCAAGATAATTTTATTATTACTTTCAAGCCATAAACAATGAGCAACAATATGAGCTTGTAAAAAGAATTTTGTTTAGTAATCATGCAATTAAAAGTATAAGTATGTGTTGACCTCACTTTTTGTGAGGGTCTACTTCTGCTCCCTTGGGCCTCATCAGGACAAGCCCAAGTCTTCAACCCTCTAGTTGAGTTGGTTTAGAGTTTTGGCTTGGTAATAGGCCCAATCCACCTCCTCCCATGGGTAAGACATGTCCTAGGTCCCAAAACCTTAGAAACCTCCATGTGAATCCTAGGGGCCACAATCATTTCTGAATTCACAATAGGAGAGGCGTCAACCTAAATTGATCCTTAGCCTCAACTAAGGCCCCCTCAACCCCAATTAACCTTTTTGGTGTCTCTTCCTTTCTATAGAGCATATGATTTAGTCATAAGACTTCCCTATTGACTCTTCTAGAGGACTAGTATTGGGACCCACACCACTTAGAAAATTTGAACTACTTCTTGACTCCTTGTAGTTTTATATGAGTGGTTTCAAATCCTTAACATGTAGTTGAGTCGATTGGAACCAATATATTGAAGCCAAGTAGAGTTTCTATAAGGATTGTGAATGCCTTAGGAAGACCTTTTGGATTTAGAGGTTTTTGTTCTTTGACACAACACACACAAAAACACCACAATTCACACAACACACACAAACATCACATACAAATACACCACAATTCACATAAACTACACTTATATACACGTCCATTAAATTAAAACTAAAATCAATTTTTAAAAGGATCAATCACAAACCAAGATTCAACGAAACCTGAATTTGATTCATTTTTTACGTGAACTTGCAATTCTTTGGTGCGTGTCGAGAGGCGCGCTGCTGGGATCGTCCCTCTAGACTTTACCTCTCACTTAGGTGAAGGTCGGTAACCATTTTGCTTGTTGAACGACTCCCATCTGATTGACGAATGCTATTCGCCGTGTCTCGCGTGGGTCTCACTTAAATTGGTCGGAAGTGAATTCCTTGCTTTGGTTGAGGTTCTTCATTTATTCTTGCTTTCTCCCTAAATTTGATTTAGTTTGGATTTGTAAATTAAAGGAGAACTTATAAGGAGGTCTCGACTTTAGCCTTTGCAATGTTTCAATTTTCTTGGTTGGAATGAGAGGGATTGGAGAAGAGACAGAGAGGGGAGGAGAATGGCGTGAGACTGAAAGAGGAAGTAGGGAAATGAATTTGGGAGAGAATGTTGGTTATTGGGGAGGTTTTCGACAGGTTATGGAAATAATGGGTGAGAGAAATGGGGGAAAATGTTGACATTAAGAAAGGGGCAACTAAGAATATTAAGCAGGGGTAATTGGATTTTGAAATGTTAGGTTAGGATTCAAATAAAATGGAAAGAAATATGAGAATTTTGGCTAGGAAGCTTTAGACCAATAGGATTAAAGCATCAAGATTGATGAGTTGGCACAAGGATAATGAGAGAACAAATGAAAGACTAAAATTTGGTGGCATTAGTAAATTAAGACCAAAGAAAATGGCTTTTCTGTAAACTAAGTAAGGACAATAAAATTTTTTTGAAATAATATATCATTTGAAAATGACAAAATAAGAACTCCAACGATCTAAACCGTTTCAAAAATAAAGTTCTCTAGCTCAAGATATGATCATTTGAAGTTTGAAGGTGGTTATGATAAAAAACTTTACGTGGGCCCATTTGGTAGAGAAAAATTAAAAAATTTGAATAGTCCATTTGGTTTTGGCTAATTCAACTTAGAGAGATATGTCTGGTCAAAGTGGGTCCTAACCTATGGGAGAGTATAGTCAATTTTGATCAAAAAATTTTCATTCTATTTTATTAATCCAAATGGTATATTTTTTAGTTTAGAACAAATTTCATTAAAGTTTGTAGTTGATTTGAAGCCAGTTTGATTAATTTATGGTCAAATTATTATTATTTTAATCAAAATTATCATTGCTCCTTATTATTGTTTGCTTAAAAGGTACCTAAATAGAGTCGAAATTGAGCGTGAAGGGACTCATTTGAAAGATTTCAATGATATGAACACAATGGTGACGTCTATTTTTTAAAAAATAATGATTCGTTGAAAAATTTTTTATGGGACCATTTCTCATGCATATGAATCTTAAGTTACATAAAACAACGTTCAATGACTACCAAACTAGTTTGCATGATTTTCATATATAAATATGAAGATCATTCAACATATAGAGAAAGAAATTTGACACTAGAAGAGAAAGAAACATGCCTATAAATGTTTTGTGAATTGATATCTAAAGCGGCAAATGAAAGAACATCTGAGTTTCATTTAATCCAAATACACTTATTTTTAGAATTATCAGAGTTAGGCACACTTAAAAAAAAATAAAAAATTTAAAAAGTTTTGAACTCCTCTTTTGTTATTAAAAAGTCTGTACATATTATGAAAGTTATTATCATAAATAAAAAAAAGGAGAGCTTGGTTTCAATAAGACAAATCATATGAACATGATTCTCATAAATAATCTTTTTTGCAATTAGCAACATGAGTTTTATTGCTAAACCCATGAACATTCAAAGTAAGAATATTTTGATAAAACATAAGAAAAAGAAATGAATGAAAATAGTTGCAAAAAAAAATTTCATGGGTTTGATTTCTAAATTCAACACATTAGCATAAGTATGAACATTCATATCACTATCACTACTAGGAACACCATTAGGATTAGTATGATGAAGTTCACCATTCTCTCTAACAATATTAGAACCACTAGAAGATATATCAACATAAATGTTTAAATTAGGAGCAAAGGAAACATCAACAGTAGAAATCTTAACAGGAATAGGAGGTCTACTATTAATCGTTTTAAATCTTTAATTAATATAAATTCTATTATTAATTCTCCATTAACAACCTTAGTACAAGATGAACGATCATGAGCAAAAGTACTGCAAGCCTTACAGAGGTTTGGTTTCCATTCATAAACAACATGTAGTTTAAGCTCATGCCCTTTAATATCAAGAAGAATGAAATCATGAGGAGAAGAGTCAATATTTATCTGAATATTAACTTTGGCAAAAGAAAGCCGAGAAAAACTTGAAAGTTAAAGAATCAACAGCCAAAGGAATGCCAATTTTACTAATAATCTTAGATTTGTCGATTTCATTCGAACAACACAGAGGCAAATTAAGAAATTTAACACAAATAAATATGTTTTAGAAATCTTCTTTAACAAGTTTAAGCTTGTGAGACCACTTTCTTAAAAAGAATGGTCTACCATTAATAAGCTGCGACCACCCACTAAAACCATGTCAAAATCCTGAACACAATTAAAATTAAACAGAAAAAACTTTTAGTAAGAGAAAGAAGATCTACAACTTCTTTTAATGTTCTTCTAATTGCTACTTGCAAATTTCCGTAGAAAGGAGGCTTACCAATGACATATCCAACAAGAGCTAGAATCCATATTTTAGATCCATAAATAACTTGATAAAAAAAATTTTTTCTTCTAAACTCGCAGAATACAATACAGACAAAATGAAAAGAACTAGTAAAATTAGAAGATATTAGATTTTTCCAATTAAGAGCAGGACTAGTCCTAAGGGAGCATGAGAAAAAAGACAAAATTAGAGGATAAAAATGATTCATGAGGAGAAGATAAAAAGGGCAAAAGCCCCAAAACCACGAAGAAAAACCAACAGAGAAAGAATGAGAAGAAAGGAGGAGAGTATTTTCAAGAAAAAGTGAAAAATGAGAAAACCTCCCGAAATGCTAGGGGAAACTTAGAGAAAAGATATAAGTCAACAGTTTGAAAGACATACACTACTTTCTTACATTTATATCACCTAATTTTTTCATATTTCATCAATATGATCATAATTTTAATTTTCATAAAGTGAAATATATATTTTCATATATAATTAAGATGATATGTATATAAAAAATTGAAGTTTAGATGTTAGATATGCAAATATATAGGATTATTATAATGGTGCAAATAAAAATGTATAATTTAAATTTGAAATAAAATTTTAGATATATATTTACTCAATAAACTAGGAAAACTACAAATCATTTCTCCTATTTTCCAAAAAAAAAAAAATAAAAAATAAAAAAAAAATGTTGCTTCTCCTATCTCCGGATACCACGGAGCATCTTTAGTCAAATTTCGCACAAAAATCTCTCCCTTGTGGTCGCTGCAGACAGAGACAGGCGAGCGAGAGCCGTGTAGCCCTAGGAACACTGGAGTGTGGTGACGACAGAAATATGTGCTGCCCCTTCAAGCCTGCGGTAACCAAAGCCCTCTCGACACATCTCCTGTCGAGCTCAAAGAACTCGGAGAGCAGGCGTCATGGCTGTCGCTCCTGGAATTCAGCCTGTCTGTTGCCCTTTTACGCTTCATTCTCCATCCCGCCATCTCTTCTTAAATACCTCCGGTGCCCGTCGAATTCCCACCACTTGCCTTCGATCCTCATCTTCCTCACCTCATCCTCCCAATGAAAGCGTATCCGATCCGTCCGCCGTCTCCTCCACTAATTCTACGGGCGACCGCTTTATTAATTCCAGGAACCATGGAGAATATCGGCTTGGATACAAGCATGCTGCCGATAAGGGGGAAACTTCTGTCGTTCGGCTCACGCCCTCCCCTGAATCGTCCATTGAGAAGGTATGCAGAACCTGATTAATCCATTCGAAAATTTCATGTTATTGACTTTGTGAAAGTTTTAATTTGTTCTATGTTAGCTTAAGCCTGTCAATTATCATTCACGGAATTTGATGGATTTTTATTTTTTTTTTACCATGGAGTTTGGCTTGGAACGGGCATGAAATAATGACGAAGATCAAGGGTTATGAAGGAAAAAAAAGGTTTTAGGGATGGCTGTTGAACTTTTGATAGAGAGCAATAGTGGTTGATGAATATCTGGTATTGAAAATATATATATGATATGAAGATGATTGTTTTCTAGGGAAAGTAAATTAGAAGGGGACTGGAATTAGACTTAATACACTAACGATCAAACTTTCTTAACCCGATGTTTAAATTTATGGGTGAGGCCTAACCAATTGGCATTTTAATGCCATTACATTTTTAAAATTGTGTTGCAGGACTATCCCAATGCTCCCATGCACCATATCAAATTTCCTCTTTGTGAGATCTCTTCACATTGACCGTTACTTCCAATCAAAAAGAAAATTTTTACCAAATCATTTGTCATGCATCAATAACCCCCTCAACTATGTGAAACTGTCATAGAAGTCACCCATTATTGAGTTTTGATCAATCATAGTAGAAGTTAATCATGATCAAAATAGCCTAAAACCACATTATTCCCTCAATCCCAATTTGACCATTGAATCTGTAGTATTTGTTATAGAGTTCAAATCAAAAGAGGACTCAAACTGGGCCATATACACTAGCAATTAAATTTTTTTATTAACATAAAAGATTGTGACTATAAGTGAGGGTCAACTACTAGTTATCTTTACACCAACATATTTTTCAACCATCTAGTATAAGATTATAACCAATAGACTAACTTGTTAAGATGAAATCTTTGGACTTAATATGAAAGTCTGAGCTCATAAAATTGTTGCCAAGGTAATTTTTATGGTTGCATGAGCTATTCAACACTTGAAGCTCAAGAGTTCTGCCATAACTCTCTCCATGCATCTTGATCCATGCTAATCTGCATGTCCAAGCTCTAAAGTTGTAGTATGATTATTGTAATTAATTTAGAATTGGAGCAAGCTTTTTTAGAATAGGTTGAAAAAATTTAGGTCAAGAAATTAGGTTTTATATGGAGAAATTGAGAAATAATAAGAGTTTTCCTTAGTCTATTTGAGAGGAGACACAAAGAGAGAGAGGGAAGGGGGGCAGCTGGCATCGACCACCTTTGGTATTCAAGTGCTAAGGATGGTTGTTATTATATGATCTAGTAAAATCCTATTCCTAGCACATTACTGGTATGTTGTAATCAAATTTATTTGCAATGAACATAAATAATGCATCATAATGTTCATTGAGCATTTAAAATGATTTTTCCTTTTTTTATGTAAAGAAATTCTTTGACATGATTTATTTTAATGGTTGTTGACCTGTTTCGCACTTTTACTATGTTCTGAATCATTTAGTGCTCCACAAAGTTTTTTAAATGTTTCATGGCATCAAAATTATGATTTACAGGATTTATTATAATTTTTTGTTTTTTTATTAAGTTATTTAACTTATAAGTAATTTTTTCAATTATAACCTTAACATTCTATGAATTTTTCTTTGCATTATTTTGGTCAAATGGCCACTTTGCCCTTACCATGCTTGTCATTATCTTAGCTTGCTAAATACCCAACTGCCATTATGTAATCATGATTTCAAGTTATTTTCTAATTGTGAAAAAGTCTTATATCTCATTGGTTCAAAGAGATGGTTGCATCTCTACCGTCATTGGATCGAGCATACACTTTGAGTTTTATTGCTCACCATTCCAAAAGAGAAAAAAATTCTTATAACCTTATCCATGTAATTGAGTTAATTAAAGGGTAAAGGATTTTCTCATTTGATTAAATAAATCAAAAGAAAAGACTTGCTTTTCCCTTGTCTCTTAGTAAACCATTGATGTTAGGAAAGTAGAGAAGGCGATGAAGATGGAGAAGGGTGCGAGAAAAGTGCAATTCTGGATCATGCACTCACACTTGCTTGTACGCATGGTCATTTACTCATTCATGAAACCAAATTGTTTTAATTTTTTTTTTATCATCATGCCCATTTTGTGTTTTATTAATGTGGCAAGTCAATGTTTATTCTTGATAGTGTATGGCTGTTGTCCTAAACCTATCAAAACAAACAAATGAAAGGACATATTCTATTGCTATTCCCAATCATTCTTTTATTCGTTTTCAAAAATTGGATGTGCATGTCTTGATTTTGAAAATTATTTTTATTTCAAGGCATTTCTAAAATGCTTCTTATTTTGTTATAAAATAAATATGTTTTATGGCTTATTATTATTATTATTTTCAAAACTATTATGAGAATGTTTGTTACTGCTAACACTGACAATATTTTTTGTTCTCCTTTTGTTATTTAGCTCATATTTGACTTTCGATTCTTGGCCCTTTTGGCTGTTGGTGGTTCACTCGCTGGGTCTTTGCTGTGCTTTTTGAATGTAAGTATCCACTCATAGTGCTAAATTTAATGTCCATGCTTTTATAAAGGATACGATATCGGGATACATATCCATTGAATTTATCATTATCTTGGTGTGCAAAATTTCTTTGATAAACTTTCAGAAGGCTAGCAAACTCTTGCTATGAAAAATTGAATGCTCTTTAGCTGCTATTTTTTGTTTCTAGTAATAGATTCTTTAATCATTCTACGATTTTTTCATTTTTATATTATATTATATTATACTATATTATATATATATATATATATATATAATATATATATATATATATATATATATATATGCTTTTTCTACCATTATCTCTTAGATTTCTTTTATTTGGAATTTATGTGTTCTTTGATTTTCTTTCAAGCCATTTTCATTAACAATAGTTAGAAATTTGAAATTTCACCACTCCATTGAAATTTAAATTTTTTTGAAAAATACATTTATGATTTTCCTATAATAATTGTTGTGCTTACCATGTTGTGTCCTAACAAACCCTCAATAACCATCTCTTGTTTCAGATGATGACTCGTTAAACTCAACAGATGAAACTCTAACAAAATATAATATTTAGTGAAACCAACTTTTCGATTGAAAAAATTTAACTTCCTATGTCAAATATAAGCTATGACAAGTTTAGCGTCTTCTTTAGTTTGAGAAACTTTAGCCTCTTTTCTTCTCCACTTCATCGTCTTATATTCAATAATCTTTTCTTCTTCACTTCTATATCTGGATTCTTTAATTGTTTGGTCAACAATTAATTATAGATTACATTTCAAATCTAAAGAAAAGACATAATTTTAAATTTTACTAATGTTTGGGTGTTTCCGGAAAGCTAAGTGCCATGACTTGGCCAATTGCGGTGATAGGTAGACAATGATGAGCTAGGACTTCACCCATAAGTTACGAACTATATTTTAACTTTGTGGTGAAAACAAAACTTGGTGGGCTGAGAAGTCACCCGTAAGTGGCGTGGCACAAGGATCACTCGATTATGGTGAAATATAGGTAGTGGTTGATCGTATATGAACCTAAAATTTAGATTTATGACATAAATTTGAGAACTTCGAGTAGTAAGATAAGAGAATTGGTAGACATTAGGATGGAATTTTGAATAAATATTTGCTTGTTTATGATAATTAAATGGAAATTAGAAAAATTCAAGCATATTGAGAAAGATTATATGTTATTGTATGTTGAAAAGGTTAATGATAGGAATTTGGTTGGATAAGTAGTAGATAAAGTAGTTGAAATATTAAGTTTTAGAGGTTGGTAGGATTTGTGATATGGCAATTGCTATTAAGATAATTATCCATGACCATGCACTTTAAATTGCATTAGAACATAAGTAAAAAAAATACATAATCTCAAATTGTATTATAGACAAAACGTTAAAAAATTAAGTGTTGGAAAGAATTGGTTGAACTACTACAACATATACTAGCTAAAGAAATGATGTTTATTGGATGTGATGTAAATGGGCGATATAGGTTATAGTAGGATGAGTTTTGGATAATTCTTGGTGGTTATAGCATAGGAAACAAAAATACATTGTGAGAAGCGATGCTTGATTTTGTAATAACCTATATCTTGTAATAGAGAACACATATTTTCATAAATTGGAAGAATTTTTGGTTCTCACAAAAGTTGAGTAATGAAATCACTAAATAGATTTTTTTTCTTAATATGAAAATCAAAATCTTCTTATAAATATTGTAAGATGATTCAAAGATAAAGCATGACCCACAATTTATTATAGCAATTATGGATATTTACCTTAAGCGTCGATATAAAATAATCAAAAGAAATTATTACGTCAGGGTAAGTTGGTGGAATTTGAAATACGATGAATTCATAATCTTTTAAGATAGGTTGCTAAGAAAGGCCAATTGAAAATTTTTAGTTGAACAAAACTTGATGTGAGATAAGATTGTTAGTTTTCTTAAAAGATTTGCTGTTGAGTTTTAGGAGAGTCTTGGAATTAATAGTATTGATTGGTGGAGTGGGCACAATGAGTTATTGAGGAAAATATATGTACTTATAAGACACATTTTAAGTTCAGCTCTATTGAGGCTTATAATGATTATAAGAAAGCTATAAGTTTTGTAAAGAGAGTGTTGAGTTTAGATTAATTATTATTAGGGTTCGAATCACGTATATTACCTTTTGAGCTCACACTTCCGGCTTTTTCTAAAAAAAACCGACCTTAACATTGTTAGGGTTTAAATAATGATTAAAAGCTCAATTCTATTCCATTGTTCTTGAAAGAGAAAATATGTGATGACAAAATTTGAAGGACAATAAGAAAAGGGGCATTTCCATACATATCACTTAATTCATATATATTTAGATATCTAACATCTAAGTTTTTATATTTATATACATACCACTTAAATCTTTGACATCACATCAACCTGTTTTTTAAAAGTGAAATAAACATTTTCATATTTGTTTTTTTTTTATAACAGATTGTTTTAGATATAAATATCAAACTTCAAGTGTAGATGTGTAAATACATAATAATTGTGTGCTGTGTATTCCAATTTTCCTAAGAAAAATGTGTATTAGTACATGTTGAGATATAGAAGTCATGCAATTTTCTTATAAATTTAATTGAATGAAAAAAATTATATTCCTAAAATATGTAGCAGGTCTCTTAATCTCTCTACATAAATTGAAGCTTTTCCTAGTGATTGATATTTTTGAAGCTAATATAGATTTTTCGTACATAAGGAAATAAATGTCTTTTTTCCATTGGAAATAAAGATAGAATATTGAAATTTCAAATTTTGACCACCGCGTTGCTGTTACAAAAAAGCCACGGCATAAGGGATGCTAACTTCTTTAGAAGACATGATAAAGTTGTGCTTGCAAAGGGAGGACAAAATTTCACAGCAGATTAGTCTATTTTTTCACCTTAATAGGAGAAAGAGATGACTAATACAGTAGTAATATTACTACTATTGATGAAAAGTACACGAAGTAATTGTCAATTAGCATCAATTGAATGATAAGGAATTATTGCTCTTTTTTCAAAAGCTCGCTATTGAGAAAGAAAAGAGAATTTCTCCGAGAAGTGAAAGAAGAACTCTCTTTTGTGGGAACAAATGACCTAAAATGAACGGGCTCTGATCCAAGAGGCTCTCAAGAATATTGCCATACTAAATTTTAAGGTGAAAATTGCGAATATGAATTGAGGAGGGACTAAAATTTCTAAACTTCAATTGAAATTTAATAAAAAGGGTGACAAACAAGAGTAGAGTAAAAATTAAGTGGAGAGAATTTGTCCTTATTTTAAAGGTCAACCATTTTTTATGGATGACTAACTATAGTCTGAATTGATGCAGGAAAATTAGGATAAGGAATCCTAAATCAGCTCATCATGGATAACATGGATTGTCACCAACTATTCTATAAACAACTTAATCTCTATATCGCTATTCTACCCGTACTTGTTGACTTTCTGTGTCTCCCTTTATTTTCAGTTATAATATTATCGACACCCATTCCTTGTCTTTTGATTTTTACATGGGGAAGGTCAACCAAAGTTGAACTCAAAGTAACCAATCCTTCTGTTTGTAGTGGATACCAACTCCATTATCCAATTCTAATCACCTTATTATGAAATAAACTACAAGATAACTTTTTTCCTTGAATAGTTAGAGAAGCCATGTAGATAATGTTGTTGGATGAGATGTTAGACCAGCTGCATAGATTTCAACTATTGCAATGTAGAATAGTGTTCGATATTGTAGATGGTAATGATTTAATCAAAACTTGCGGCTGTTGGTAAAGTCATAGTCTATTGTCATTGATGATTGTATAGGATGTTAAGGCTATAAATAGGCATTGATCATGTGGATGATGACGTGGTGTGGTTTAGCCATCGTTGTAAAAATTCGTTGAAATTAACAAAGCTCGTTGACTTGTGGATGATGACGTGGTGTGGTTTAGCCATCGTTGAAATTAACAAAGCTCGTTGAAATTAACAAAGCTCGTTGACCAAATAAAGTTTGCTTTTGGGAATTCTTAGAGGATCCATATTATCTTCGGATTTAAATAGATCTTCTAAATGAATTGAATTGGTGTCTATTTATATTCACAAGCGGAACTAAAATTTATTTGAAATATTCCTTGTAGATGTCAACAATGTATGGTGGAGTTCACACTCTTTATTGATTAAATTTTGATCATATGATGCTTCCCTTGGGCTAAACTAGCCACCCATTTGGACTCTGGTCCACTTGGATGACCGAAAATAGCCCAATGGTGGTGGTCTAATTCTGGCACTGTTTTCAACTACAGATGTTTCTTTATAAGGCATTGATTGATGATGTAAAGATGCATGGTAAAATTGACTAGAGAGTAACATGAAAAAGATCATAAAAAAACAATCTAATTTGGTTTCCTTGCACTTAATTTTTTCTTCACCTGACTTCTCTTATTGTTTTAACAGTGAGGTAACTCACTATTTAACACCAAAACAAGGTACCAATAGCAAGCATTAAGTCTCGTTTCCTCCTTTGAGAGCTGCAACCAACGACTACAATTGATGAGTTTTTAACTTTCTGTTTTCCAATCATAATGAACTAGAAACTGAGAGGAAGAGGATAATTGATCTGACTTATGGAGGCCAAAAGGTATTGGTTGGGGGTTGGCGTGGAGGGAGGTGTAATGCCAAATGAATTGATTTGTGTTCAATTGATTTCAATGCCTAGTTACAAGTTATATTTGTATTGGCGGTGGGGAGGGAAGAGTAATTCCAAATGAATTGAGCTGTTTTCAATTGATTTCAAAGCCCAGTTACAAGTTATATTTGTAGCCTTTAATTCCTTAATGAAATAATTAAAAAATTATCCAAATTTTTTAAATCTTGGTTAAAAATATAAAATAAAAATTTCTTGAAAGAAAGCAGTGGAAGTGAGGAAAGTCAAAAATATTCGCTGGCCGATACTTGGCCCAAGATATGAAGGTTTACAATACTGAAAAGTTGG